GGGGGGGGTTCATGGCCAAGATAATAACGTTCCATGTGGATGCAAAGGACTTTTACATTCATTCAAGTAAGAATTAGTGGCGGACGGCAGGAATCATGGCCAAGATAATAACGTTTCTCCTGTTGCTTCGCGGAGAGATTTTGCATCGGTGGCACTACCACCATCTGCTACCACTACTACTACCACTACCACTACCACTACCACTGCCACTGCCACTACCACGACGACGACGACGACTACTACTACTACTACTACTGCTACTACCCGGGTCATCAGTTTCTTCTTTTGGAAATGTTTTTGGTTTTGGTTTCCTGGTTTTGGTTACCGAATCAGCGGCTTTGGTTACCGAATCAGCGGTTTTGGTTACCGAATCAGCAGGTTTGGTTAGCGAATCAGCGGGGTTTGGTTACCGAATCAGCGGTTTTGGTTACCGAATCAGCGGTTTTGGTTACCGAATCAGATGTTTTGGTTACCGAATCAGCGCTTTTGGTTACCGAGTCATAGTTACCGAATCAGACCGTTTGGTTACCGAATCAGACGTCGACCCTAAGTGGCATCAAGCACCATGAAGACCTCCGATCATTTCTCCTGTCAAGGCCTAGTTCCGCGCGAACACCTCGTTCGCACCAACACGCAGTTTGGCCTCCGACCAGACGATGCCGACGCTGCCATTGCACGGCTGTCAGTCCAGGTGTGCAGCTGTGAAGTCTGCCAGGACGGGTCTTGAAATGCGAAGAAGCAGAAATGCAAGTGAAAAAGACACAGAATGCGTTTTTAAGAGTAGATAGTTTGATTTCAATCCAGCTTTCTGGGGCAATCAAAGAAGGTTATTTCACTTTGGTGTTCGTTTCAACCCCGACCATAGTCTCCCAGCTCCTTGCGTCCTCAATTCCATACTTGCCAGGCTTATGCCGAGTGAAGAACGGCCAAGATGCGGGACGACCTGAAGCGGTGTTGTGACGACTGCAGGCGATGCCTTCGACATCCTTCCGACTGATCCTTTCATCTTGGAGCAAGAGGAATCAAGAAACTTGCAAGAAGGCGGAGACGATGCTTGAGATGAAGATCAGCACAGTGGGGTGGGGCTACGGGACAGAGCTCAGTAGAGTGAGTAGAGCGAGTAGAGCGAGTAGAGTGCAGAAATTCAGAGAGATGTGGCGTAGACGGCCAACGATTCGACATGCCTCTGCATATCCAGAGGGTGCAACACAACGATCGTGCCAACTCTGCTGCACTTCCACAAAAGTCCTTCGGACCGTGGACAGTGGGAGGGGTGCTTCCCTAGGCGAACACTTCTGTAGATCACGAGATACTTTGGGTATAAATTCTTAAGTTTATTGTATGCGCAGTTGACGCGGGAATACTTACAGTACAGTAGTGGGAGCACGTGCCATAGATGGCTGTTGCGTTTTGTGCATGTTCTTTTTTCCTTTTAAATATTTTAAACTTTTTTACGTCGTTTTTGCTTCAGTAACACCCGACATACACACATGGGGGGGGGGTAGGGGGGTGGAGTGGGGGGTTGGGATCTCATGATGTGTTTGTGCTGATGTAGCGTAGACGCATTCGCACTTCACAGACATGGACAGTGTTTGTTCGATGATGTTATATGCGTGAACCTCTCACAGTATGGGTGACTCGCACGGTTCGTTCGCTGCTGACTCCGTTTCTGTCCACAGGTTTTTTCTGACCAAAAGGGAGAACGGACACACGTTGTTGAATCCGATACTGAAGCGAAAATGCTTTCAGTGGATGTGGCGTCAGCAGATGTTTGGCAAAACGCCGACTGAGTTTTTGGCTGAACTTGGGCAACTGCTCAAGACATGAAAAATGGCCGAGGTCTCGTTAGTTTCTGGGGCTGTTCAGTGGTACTGTGGAATCTGGAACGTTAACTCTAAGGTGTTCTGAACGGGACCGTTGCAGGGGTTACACTGCATAAGGGAATCACTCCACGCCCAAACTTTCCCAAGCCTTCTGTCTAAGTCTGTGTGAACAGGTGGTGGGTACCCAAACTGCTACCAGTGCAGGGAGGCTCCCTGCCTGGTAGCTGTCTGATGCCATGGTCGCCAAACGTGCTTGGTGGAAGGGAGGGATAATTCTTGCTTCTTCGCCGGTCAGGAGCCGTGTTCCAATATGCAGCTCTGCCAACTTCTCACCAGTGGCCCTGCGCATAATACAGCCAATGCTGTAGAATAGTAGCCAAAAGCACCACGGCCACCTGTGGCTCGTGTACCTAGTTACATGCAGTTACACCTTAGCTAGATATAACTAGATAGATCATTTTGCACACGTTGCACTGTGAGACGCAGCTCAGACACACACACACACACACACACGCACGCGGGCACGCGGACACGCGCACAGGCATCCTAACATGTTGCTAAAGGGGTTGCCCGAGACCCCGACCTTTGCACTTTCCCAAGCCTCCCTGCACGGCTGAGGGAGTTGCTTCATCTTCTCAGGAGACATGTTGGTTCTTCTTTCGCTGTTTTTTTTTGTAACTTGTTGTTTGATAGGGAGCTTTGCGTCGGTTCTGTTCATAAAGCTTTGTTTCAACATCCGTGTCCTTTTGAACAGGAGACCTTGAATGAATACAGTGCAGATGAGGTGGCTTCAAGATCTAAATCCCAAAACGAAACTAACGAGAGCAGGATGACAGAGGTTTTAATTCGAATGATTGGGAACACCATTGCGAAACCAGATAAATGTGTGGTTTGTGATGATTTTCAGTGAAAATAACGCTATGCCATTTGCACCGCCAGACCTTCATGACGATGTTGAAGCTCCTTTCGGCTTTCTACAACATCTCCCTCTACAATCGTGCCATGAACTTCGAGGTAGGGAAGGCTTTGGGTTGAAACAATGCTGTGCAGGGAATGTGACCAGTCTGCACAGGTAGAAAGCAGTTCGGTGGACGAGGATTTCCATTGCAATGCCCTCACGTGCCGCCGGCACAAGTTTAAGGAGACCTTCGATTCTCTATGATTCTCTGATGTCTCCTACTTAGCTTTTGCTGCCATTTTGGCCTAGAGCTTAGAGGTGCGTTTTGTCACCTCTTTTTTCCTTGTTTTTCCTACTTGCTGATTTGTGCCATGGTGATCAGTTGTGCTATGCCACCGTGATGCGGTTGCGACTGACAATTCCCTGGGCTGGGAATGTCAGCGATTTGGAGCTCTACCTTCACGAAAGTGCCCTGAGGGTGTTGCCGCGCAGCTTGGAAACAGAGGTGCCGGAGTGCAGCCTGGTGGGTGATGGTGACTTCGAAGTGGAAGTGTCAGAGGTGGCTTAGTCAAGAAGAACAGACTTTGTGAATATCGCATCTGGAGTACACTCTTTAGAATGCGAATTTACATTTGCCCTTCCGCAAGCAAATTACAATTTTCTGCAGATGTCTTTTCTTTCTTGTATGGGCCCATGTTACAGTCCCTTTGAGGAGGGACTTTGAACGCAGCTCAGGGCGGCATCCAAATTCAGTTGACCCACAGGGCCACCTCGACGCGGCCTGCGCGCTTTTGCCACCCCAAAGGGCGGTCTGCACAGCTGAAAGTGTACCTGCAGCTGGGAGAGGCAGGCCGCTCAAAACATCAAGAGAACGCAGAAAAGTCCTTTCCAGCTCTGGTGAAGTCTTGCATGCATGATGTTCTTGATTATTTCCTCTTTCCAGGTGGCTATGGCACCCAAGAAAGTCTGCGAGGTGCTCCTTCCCATGGCAGCTCCTGAAGGGCACTTGCAGCTGCAGGTGGGACAGTGATTCTGCAGAGAATATGGAATGCATTCAACAAAGCATGCAGTTTCTTCAGTTTCTCCAAAAGAACAAACCACTTCTTTTGCATAAATTGTAGAAACACCAACCTGGGAGGCACTGCCCTTTGGGCTTCAAGGTCCTGTGGGCTCCCACATTTGGCCGTGTGCCCAGCTCTGCGCGGCCTACCTTCGCCGCCGCTTTGCCTACGGTGAGGCCTGGGCTGCACGTACATTGGATTTGGGCAGCGGCTGTGGGGTTAGTGGCTTGGTGGCCGCCGCACATGGCGCAAAGGCAAGGAGGATATTCTTTTGATAATTTTGGTTGATTTTCAGGCGTTGGATGTCAAAATGCAAGGGTATGAAAGGGGTTTTCCTGGTTGACCATCTTGGGCCCATTCAAGGTGACCTTCTCTGACTGTGACCCTCGGGTTTTGCCGCTCTTACGCAAGAATTCTTCGGACTTCGCACGGCGGCAAGGGCTTGGTACCCAGTCGGTGCTGCGTTTTGACTTCACCAGCGAGCAGGAATCTTCAGAAAAGTATACTGTATATCTAGTAGCGAACATTGCTCCTAGTAGCGATGCCACGAGCCCCTAGTAGCGTCCTTGCTCCTAGTAGTATGGCCAGGGGCCCTAGTAGCTTCCTTGCTATATATATATATATATATACATATCAAAACCATAGTATCCACCAGACCACCGGAATATGCAGTCGCTGGTTTGAATTTTCAGGAGACCCAAGACTTGGCGGCTGAAGGCCTTTTCGATTTGATTTTGGCATCTGATGTGCTTTACGACCACCGCCTGGTGAAGCCGTTGTGTCGAGCGTTAGCTGCGCTGCTGAAGCGAACCGGCGAGGCGGCCCTCTCAGTGGAGTTGCGTCCGTGTGGAGTGGATCTCCGGGCAGCGGTTGAGATGGAAGCACAAAACCACGGGCTGAACGTGACGGATGTCACAGACATGCTGAAGATTTGGGTGACGCCCATGCCTCCAGAACTTCAAGTACCTCCACTGGAAGAAAGGCATCGGATGTTCGTGGCTAAGTGGGCTAAGGATGGGGCAGCTGCTACACGCGAGATCAATGAGAAAAAGGTGAAGTCGCAACAGCCGTGGAACATGTTGGAGAAGAGGCGTGGTACAAGCGTTCGCTCCAGTTTTGGTCCAAGCAGGCCTGGGATCTCTTGCTGAAAGAGCTGATTGAATATCAAGCAGTTGGAAGTAGCAACTGATATCTTTTTTGCTTTCAACTCCTTGTGAAGACACGATTATGCACGTTGCCCTCTCAACGAATGCAATAGGAGGCATCCGATGCTGGAGTCCTGGCTGGTCACGTGGAGACATCTCCGCTGGACCTGCGTGAGTCTGCGGCGTTTTTGGACCTGGTGGGTGAGAAGCTCGGAGAGATCCAGCAGTGATCCAGCTTCATAGGAACAGAAACCACAGAAACCTACCGAACTTGATGATATAGTTTGAACAATAATCGACACTTATTAGCATGGTCATGCCAACAAAGATGAAGGTTCCTATTTCTGTGAGAGCTTGAAAGCACATGTTAAGTCGAGGTGACACTTTTTGTGCATTAGCGTGTTTGCATGAGCAGGTCTGGCAGAAAGAGGATGGATCACAGTTTCGCAAGTGTTCTGTGGCATAGCGAGTCGGTGCACGATTCGCACGAGGGAGCTGGCTTAACTTTTAACAGATGAATGCATTCTCCTATGAATCAAAGCATTCTCACAAGCCTAGGAATCGACCATTTTACACTGCGCTGGATTGCGGAGCTGGTGTGGGCCGCATAACTGAAGGTTTGCTCCTAGACCGCGTCAGCGGAGCGGTGGATCTTCTGGAGCCGTGTGCACACCTCCTGCAGGACTTGTCGGATTTCAACAGGGCACAAGATCAAAGCTCTCAAATGTTTTCTCAAAGGCAGGAACCATCCCTATGAAAGACATTGAATCTATCTCCCCTCCGTGAGAACTTGGGAATGACTATATATAAGAAGAATTCAAGCTGTTACAGAGAAGTCAGGAGTCGGTCAGCCTGGTGTCCTGCAGGAAGCGCAGGAGCGGCTGAAGGGCACAAAAGCAAGGCACTTTTTGGAGATGTCTTTGCAGCAGATCGAGCAGCTTCCTGACATGCAGCTTGGCAAACTGGATTCCAACTGCAAACTGCGGGTATTTTCTCAGGCCCGAAGAAGGAAGTCACCCCTCTTCGTTCGATCATACGTTTCATGTTATTTTTGTTACAAATGTTTGCTTCGCACAAGAGGTATGATTTGATTTGGGTACAGTGGGTATTGCTGTACCTCACAGATATAGATTTTGCAACTGTGCTGCAACAGCTACGCAGAGCACTGCGACCAAAAGGGCTTTTGATCATCAAGGAAAACTGCTTGTTGAACAAGTCTTCAGGGCTGCTTGGCTGATGATTTCTGCATAGCTGCGTTGTGAGGGCTGTGGGAAACCCAGTCCCACCAACACTTGTAATTAGCATGAAATCATTGCGAATCCCTCCTGAACATGTCGTGGGACCCCGTGTCTGCAACACACTACGATTGCAATAGCCAATCGTTTATTCAGCGATGCACTGCCCTTTGGCAAGGTCTTGTTCCTACCGAGCATCACGTCTCAGGTGGTGCACCACCAAAACAATTCAAATTGCATGTCTGCCCATGTATCTTGAAAAAATAGAGGAGGCAGCATGCTACACAGAGTGCGAAACCTTCGTTAACCTTCGTTCCCCACCTCAACTTCAGCTTTGTTGGTGTTTTGGTGTAGGAAAAGACTCCTTGGCAAGACCCATTTGTGCAGGTTGGGTTAATGTGAGGTACAGGTTGGGTCTTACAGTCAACGTACATCCTCAATGCCTTCTTGACGTGGGACACGCACTGGACTGGGGGATTACCCAAGTATGAGACATACAATAGTAGTTGGTCAGAGCTTGTTGCAGCTCGTTTTCATGTCAACACAGCTTTGATTTGAGAAGAGTCTTGTTCATGTGTTTATCATTTGACTGCTAGATGCTAACATTTGGCCACAAGGCTTGAAATGGCCAAAAACATATTTTTTTTTTTGCCGACTAGACACATTGGCATACGCGAGCGTGTCCCAGACAGGGGTCAGCTGCAGCGCTTTCTCAAGATGCTTATTGCTATTTTTTACAAACAATTTTGCTTTAAACTTTACAAGATTTCTTTATTTCTTTTTGCAGCTACCTGTGATTGTTATCTTTGTTTTCATGTTTCCATTTCTGTCGCTGCTCAGTTGGGTGGATCACCGTGACAGCTCCTTGTGCCGCTCCGACGCTGAGCTACGGAACCGCTTCGCCGAGGGCGGCTTTGGGCTGGTGGCACAACAACAACAGCAAGACTGGCCAGACAGCTTGCTGCCGGTGGACTGCCAACAATTGTTCTTTTTGTTAGAAACAGTTCATGTTATAGAAGATCACCTGATCTTGTCCATTCTTGCTACGGAGACATGGCCCATCAGACAGAACATATGTGTTCTACCAAGGTGATGATGTATGCCTTGCAATGAGCTCGGAGCTGGGCTGGCAGAAGGGCTTGGGATACGGTCATCACGATGGAGTTTGACCCTTCCACAAGGTGTTCATCCAAGCGGTCCAACAACACCGGCTCGATGCAGACCAGATGTGAAGAGGAGCGAGTACAGCTGGTGGAGATGTACTCCACAAACTGACAACAGATTCTGAAAAGCTATTCTTCAGAAAGCCTGATTATGCTACCAGAAGGTCCACAGGTGATTTGGGGTGCGAAGAACCAGCCTCGGAAGGATCCTGTCAGCCACAGAACAAGCTCAGACTCTGAGCGCGAGAGAAAAAGTCTTCAGACGAAGTACGAGGGAAACTGCTTGACGCTTCGACTCATTCCAGGCTTAGAGATGATTTTCGGCCAGGTCAGCACTTCTTCGTCAACTATCAGACCCTTTGGCTGTTTGCACAGGTGGGAACCGAGATCTCACGCGCGTTCGGCGAAGGCCTGCCTGTGTTCCTTTCAGAGATTTAGTGAGTTCTACTCACTCCAAGTGAGAGATCACGTTTCTTCACTAGGTACTAGCATGATTGACAAATGAAACCATGGGCTGATATGAATGACAAAGCTGGTCCGGGGTAGGCTAGATTCCCTCTTATTGAAAAAGGTATTGGCTTTTCCTCGGCAGCTTTGGCTCAGAGCACAGATTAGGCAAATGTTCAATACAAGTTGGACGGGTGACATGGCCGTGCCCCAAAGTGCATGCAACAAAACTTAGGGCAGCAACATTGGATGCTTTGCCCCTGGTGCCCTTGGAAAGCTTTCCCCTCAGCAGCTTAGATCAGATTGCGATCCAACTCAAATCGAACCTGTTATCTGGCAATTCATCAATGGTTTTCCCAACCGAACGGTTTTCATAGAAATTGGGAGAGACATGGACTATCGCAGACTCCATCACTCATGAGACACTGGAACCGGCTGGACACTCGTTGCTGTTTGCCAATGTTCGTTCCCTTTTGAGACAGTGAGCAGCACTGTGATACATTGAAAGCAAGGACCGTTGTAAAATACAAAACCAACACCTTTGGAAGGATTTGGCCATGTCGGACCCAAGATTTTATCGCTTGGATTTGGTGAACCTTGGTGACCTATTTCATCCAGACGTACCTTTTTCGGTGCGGCTCTCAGGTAGAGATGGCATGAGATTGCCATTTTCGCTGTCAACAGGTTGCACAAGAGACTAGAGGGTTAGTTGGAGTCTCAACATCACTCATCATTTATCAGACCGGCCAAGGAATGTGTCACGAAATGTTTATTTCCGCGAAGCAAACAAAAGGAACTCTCTTGCTTCTGAGGAATGGTGCAAGAAGTGCCAATCTGCGGACGAGAGTGGTTTTGGCAACAATCGGCTACAGGACTTCGCTCCTGATCTGACACCGCTGGAACACCTGGAGAGGATCTGTGGTACGTCTCTTGAAAGAAAGCGGCAGGTTTCGAGGTTTGGTTCTGAAATGCCTTGCTTGGGATTCAAGTGTCGCATTAACGGGAATCTTCTGATTTAGAGAATTTAGAGGGTAGATTCCTGGAGGATCAGTACTTTTCGCGGCTTGCTATTGCTTTAATTCTGTGTGTAGGCTTTAGTTTCTTGTTTCTTTGGTGGACGCGTGTTGTAAAACCTAATTTCTTGCAACTACCACCAACGAGAACGGCTCTGCAGCTACATTTACAAGTGTAACCTGCATTTTTTCTCTCTGTATGTACGGGCAAACATGATTCACAAGCAATTACCAACAACATGTTTCATGGTGGCACAAAAAACTGCAGCAAGCCAGGACCTAGACTGAACCCACGAAAGAATGCCAGGGCAAAAGAGGTATCATTTGCGACAAGTTTGGATCCCTTCAGAGCCCGGTATGCGCAACTGCATGCGGCACTTACTCATTTTCTCACCCTCCCTTTCAAGTGTTGCACCACTCTTGGTAGGGATTGACAATTGTACAGTGGCCAATTTTGCTGAGAGATTTTGTTGGTTCAAGCAGTTCAAGCATGTTCAAGAGCATTGTGACCTGCATGACAGCAAAGGTTATTGTACATCAATCTCAGTGGGGCTGGACTCCTGTGGCTGACCATTGCATTGATTTGTTCCGCATTTGAGCTTACGCACCGGAATCTTTTTCAAGCTTTCCCTTTTATATAATTTGCAGTTGCCCAACAGGAAGTGGTGTGTTATTGAGCACTTGCCCATAGTTCAGACGTTTCGCTTGTTTGTTCCGAAGTTTTGAGGGGAATCAGTAGGCTTGAGGAAGGCAGCTATGGGCTCCATTGATGTCGTTGATGTCCATCCCCAGTAATCCATTGCGCGGATGGCACGACTGTTATTGAGAGCTTTTGGGTGAGTCTGCATGAGGCTTCTGTTGTGGTTGGCATGGCACTGCAATGACCTTCACCAACTACATTTTTCTCCCAATGGGCATTTGGTTGCTCATCTACTGCTTCTATGATCGTGCAAAGGATTCACGTTATGGAATCCACCACAAGAGTCTCAGCGCATGCAAGCAGCAGAGTGAATTGGCTCACACTGCCCTAATTCGCTTGGACGGTTCGAAATCACTCAAGACACTACAATAGTGTCACTACCATGTGCCATGTGTTGGTAACCTCGATGCCAAGGAATCAGCATAAATATTTGCATATGAAATATGTCTGGCCAGTAGAGCTGCATCCTCCACGGCCCAGTAAGGGCCCATTGCACCTTGGCCGGATATGGCTGTCGCTACGTCGCTCATCATGAAACAAAAGAACATCATTTATGAAAGGGGCAGTAGATTGCTTGACTTCAAGATTGCAAAGCTTTCGTTTGACGAAACACGCAGGAATCGGGATATGTTGGACAGAATGGCAACACCTTACTTAATTAATTACTTATTCGGGGCTTTTGCTAGCTTTTAATCGCTTTGTTTTGTCATTTCTGCAGCTTCCTGTGGCTTTTGGGGGCTCTCAATTGCTTTTGGTGGCCTTTGTTCACTTATTCCTCTTGTCGCAAGCTTGGGTGGTTTCGACTTTTGGCATTTGTAACCTTTGATTGGTGTTTTGTGGCCTTGTTAACTGGTCGCTCTTGGTAGCTTTCGCGGCTTTCCGTTCGGTTGTTTATTATATAATTGCTTGGTTGCCTTTGGGGTGTGCCATGACGCAGGCTCTATCCAGTCACAAAAGGCGTCGATATTGATTCGTCCGCTGCGCCTTCCCCCACTGCCCTCTAGCTTTTTACGACAAGTGCTACCCTGCTCAAGGTCCTTAGTCCATATAATCATAAGCAATGCCACGGTTGCTACCTTCAAGTTCCTTTATGCCAGAGTTTCTATACCCGCAATGAGTTTCTTCTTGTATGTTCATGTCCTGTGGTATTCATTTTCTTTTGGTATCTATTGGGCTCTCAGTTATTATTCGGTAGTTCCTGGCTAATGGCCCATTCTGGGCTAGCTACCCAAATCCTGAATTCGATACCGTTGAGGCAGCATAAGTCCTTTGTTGATCCCGAATTGTCTCAGGATCTTCTGCATAGTACCACGCGGGGTATTACCCCTGGGACTCTTGGCTCAAGAAGTTTCAGCTTCTGGCAATGCGTCCGAACCACACAACACGATTGAACTCCACACAAAAAAAGACGATTGAACTGCTCAAAGTGCCAACATTGAGATTGTGGGTGATCTAAGGGATTGACTATGCGATGTTTGACAAGCTTGGCGCTGGACGATGCAACTTCGCCGCTCCATCAATCTTGTTGCTTGGCAAAGGGTTGCCGAAGGGCCCATCAATCTATTTGGGCAAATCCAGATTGAACGGAAAGAACACAGTACACTTGTGTTGTGCGTGAAGGAGTGAAGGAGTACAGCTGCGCCAATGCTTTTGAGATGCACGTGTTCAGAGTGTTTAGATCACCATAAAAAGAGAGCAGGGAAGCACACAAGATTGATTTAAACTTATCTCGGCAAGAGACCCCAAACAGTGTGTGTGATGTCAAAAAGCAGAAAGTCTAGAGATCTAGACGCATTGGGGTCCAGAGAGGTGTTGGTGGGAACAAGTTGGGATCGTGGTGACGGTGGCGGTGGTGGTGGGTGAGTGATTGAGTGAGTGAGTGTGAGTGTGAGTGAGAGTGAGAGTGAGTGTGGGTGACACTGAGTGTGGGTGACAGTGAGAGTGTGAGGGAGTGTGAGTGTGAGCGAGAGTGGGAGAGTGAGAGTGTGAGGGAGTGTGAGTGGGAGTGGGAGAGTGAGTGGGTGAGTGTGAGTGTGAGCGCCAGTGTGAGTGAGAGTGAGAGTGAGTGAGAGTGAGTGTGGGTGAGAGTGAAGGTGGGTGAGTGTGAGGAGTGTGAGTGTGAGTGGGAGTGGGAGAGTGAGTGAGTGTGTGCGAGTGAGAGTGAGGGTGAGAGTGAGAGTGAGAGAGTGAGAGCGAGTGTCTGAGAGCACAAAGTGTTGCGCCTGCGCCGGAATCTGCGCTTCGAGGTTCACAAAGTACTGCGCCTGCCACGAAATCTGCATTTCGAGGTTCACAAAGGTGCCACGAAATCTGCATTTCGAGGTTCACCAAGTGCTGTGCCTGCCACGAAATCTGCACTTCATTCGAGGTTCGCCAAGTGCTGTACCTACGAAATCTGCACTCCGAGGTTCACCAAGTTCTACACTTCGAGGTTCACAAAGTGCTGCAACTGCAACGAAATCTGCACTTCGAGGTTCACAACGAAGTCTGCGCATTGAGGTTCACCAAGTGCTGTGCCTGCCACGAAATCTGCGCATTGAGGTTCACCAAGTGCTGTGCCTGCCACGAAATCTGCGCTTCGAGGTTCACCAAGTGCTGCCCCTGCCACGAAATCTGCACATCGAGGGTCACAGAGTGCTGTGCCTGCCACGAAATCTGCAAACGAGCCACATGTCCAAAAGTCACGACTCACCGCACCTGTCACGAAATCTGAGCTCCTCGACGATCACCACCATGTCCAAAGTGCTGCACCTGCCACCAGCTCAAAGTAAAACAGCTCCGACCCCTTCCACCTGTCACGAAAAGTCGACGAAAGAAGCACCAAAGCACGAGGTTTCCCTTGCGCCTGCCACGAACAGTGACCACCATGTACCAAAATGCGGGGCGCAGTCGTTAGAAGCACCCGCCGCGGCCACCCAGATTCAGCGAGCCTGCGCAGTCGAAATGCACTTCGAGGATTTCGAGAGGCATGAATGTACTCTAAATAGCAAGGAAGTAGCTGTGCACGCCCGCGCGCTTCAGCGATCTAAGCATCAGCTGCCTTTCATTTACCGTAAGGACCCCTAGTGTGTCCACACTGTTTGGGGAAATATACTGTATGTACTTTACATATATATATATATATATGAAGACATAAAGTTAGCCATGTGCCGAGACCCGGGGAGAATCAACATGCTGACAGCTGCTTGACCCACACTATTCAATGTTTGCAGGTTCAAACTTCCCCTTGTTGGCCACTATCTCCAGCGATCGGGGGTCGTACCTGCCAACGCCAAGAACATCCGTGCTGCCTTAGCGAGGCGAAGCAGGGATGACCAGCTCGTACGAGCGAAAAAAAACATATACACCCAGACTCAGCTATTTCAAAGGCTCTGGATGCATGATGTGAGACTTAAGCAAAGCACTCTGGCCATCATGCGTTGATCATCCTATCATGCAAAGTGGGTGCGGAAACCACAACTTCGTCACAACTTTGTTCTATGCAGCAAAACTGCATGCAGCGCAAGATCCAGTTATAAGTAGTGCAGCCAAGAACACTGCTTATGTAGCTGCATGGGAGCGTTCCGTTTTCAAGGGGGAATCACTGTAAAAATCCTGCGGTATTCTTAAGACGAAAAAGCCGCTCCCGTGCCAGGAATGAAAATGTGGGTGTTGTCCTGGATGGAATCGGTGGACTGTTTCAAGCAACCGAAGGTCGACAAGAGGTGGCATATCTCCTGAAACGAAAAGGTCGGCATGGGCAGCACGAAGATGCAGCTGTGAAAAGGGAGGGATGCCAGGGATTGCCAGGGAGCAGATGGAACAGACGGATTCAACAAGTCATGACATAATCCTCTAGTTTTGACGATCTGTATGCTCTGCAACTTCAATCCAGCACGCACTTTTAGCCCGTCCAACTAGGATGAATCAGAAGATGTCCAACGAGCTGCCAGAGTCTTGTCAGTTTGCATGGGTCCCTGTTCCAGGGATTGTCAAGATTGCCCTTGAAGCTGGTGCATCACTTGTGCCAGTCTATGGCTTTGGGCATTCAGAGCTATGGACCACAGTGATTGATGCTTGAAGTTGAAAAGGGCGCATGCCACAAATGACGGTCAGGAGAAACCACATGTTTGATGGCTTCAATGGCCCCAATGTCCTCATCATGTGTGCACAAGACCTTAGCCCTTTGACCTTGATTGACATCTCTAAAAATAAAGAAGGTCCGTTGTGAAAGCTAATCTCTGACACCTTGTTTTGTGCTAGTTCTAGACACCTCAAAGTGACACTGCAAAGGCAAAGCCGTGCACTTTATGAGGAGTATGGTGCATTACCTTTCTCCCTCCCTCTCTCTCTCTCTCTCTTTCTTTTCGACTTATTTTGCTCGACTTCTTAGGATCCATTTCGACTTCTGGAGCGCTTGTCTCTGGCGCTGGATATGCCTTTGGTGCCTTTCTTTGGCTTGGGCGGTTGGCCCCTGGGCCCCACCAATCGGGTGCGGCCCTGAGGGATGGGAGGGGTGCCGAGATTGGTCATCCTCTTCAAAAACAAGAGCTTACGAGCTGGGGCCGAGGTTTTTCTGCTGGCCGTTCCTGCAAAGACTTGCTTTCAATTCATTCAAAGACACCCAAAACCCTGTGTGGACCCACGGTTCTTCAGCAGTTCCTTTTGCTGGGGTGACCATGAAAAGTTTTCCTCGTGTTGAGGTGATTTAGGCTGAAAACTGCATGGGGAATCTCTTCAAACAACTGACCAACTGCCAGGTCCCGCTAGCAATGGTTTTCGGGCAGCCGCTGGAATGCCCCCAGAAGCCGCGTGGCAGCAAGGTCTCCCCACCTGCTCATGTGACACCGTAGACTGTGGAGATGAGCTTTTAGACGCTTTGGTGTGCCAAGTGTACTTGTGTATCATACTACTGCAGCCTTTTGCGGCAAACTGGGATGTGCACAGTTCTTCTGCCATCTTTTTTCTCTCTTTGTCTGTTTCTTCGCCATGCAGATTAACTTGTGAATAGTTGAGATTTTGGAGAGATGTGGTGTCCAGCAACTTCAAAACGATCAGACTTATGGAGTGCCTGCTTCCCCCAGGCCCAAAGCATTTGATTCCTGTGCACGGCAATACTTGTCGGAGAAGGTTTCGGCATGCAGTATTGATGGTATGCAAATTCAAGACCTGCGCGAGTACAAACTTTGCCAGTTAGGTTGAGGTTAGGTTTCGAGGTTCAGCATTGACTCCTCCGCAGTCACAGCGCACAGCAGCTGAGGGCAGATCCATCACAGGGTGAGATTGATTGCTACCATACATTTTTATTGGACAGTTTCAAGGAGACCTTTGACAAGCATAAGGCTGCCTATGGCTGGTCACAGAAGACACTTATGATTGTTTAGAGCCAACGCCAGAAGACACTGATGCCAGTCGGAACCGATTCGGCATACCAAGTTGGCGACCAATTACATTGCGCATGCGAGACAGAAGGTGGACGAAGGACCTTCCTGTCTATTCTTGTCAATAGCTTCAGGTGCTGACACGACAAACGGAAGGTAGACCCCTACCCTGCTTGTTGTGAATCAGACTCACTGGAAAGATGTCAATGTGCCTCGTGGACTGCTGTTTGAGAAAGTTGATGTCACCACGGTCAACCTCCCGTCGTGTCATGCACTCTCTCAGGGCAACATATTTTCCATGCCCTGAGACATTTTGAGTGGGGTTGTGGGGCCAAAAGGATTCCATTAAGGATGCAGCTGAAGGTTCTGACCACATTAAGGATGCAGCTGAAGGTTCTGACCAAGGGTTTGAGAGTAGAAGCTCCTATATACCTGCTTTGCCGTGGGATGCTACAACCTAAGTAGGTGAGTATTTCAATAGGGGACCCTCCAGCCATGTATTTTCCTTCTTGCGGAGGGTCTCTGGGAGGTCTCCCTATTTTGATACGCACCCACATACATGAATCACACACACTCATTGTATATGTATAGATAGTATAGATGGCTGCAGATTTCGCTGCCTTCCTTCACAAGGAGACGCTTCATGTTGGTTTTCATTCTCTTACTCTTGACCTCGTCAAGTTTGAGACATGTCTTGAAACCGTGGACCTCCCAAACTGCCACATGTTGAGAACACCGGATGCCAAGAAACAGCAGGTTCTGTGCCAAGCTGGTGCAGCAAGTTGGCAGGCACGAGTTGGTGTAAGGCTGTGGTTGAGTTAGACTCCGAGCATTTTGGATCCTTGGTGTACCGATCTGTGGCATTGGCGCATGAATCTGGGAGGATTTGGCCTTGCGATTGATTGGTACCCAGTGTGTTTGTGTGGCCAGGTGCATGTCGTTTCCTCTTTCCCTTCAATGTGCGAAGGACCTTTTGCAAAGACGCCGTGTGTATCACAAGACTTTCTGCTGAGAATGCTAGACACCCATTGCAATGTGGCAACATTGTGCAAGAAGACCTGCATGCAACCACTTTAATGAATCTCCAGATTAATCTTTCCCTCAAAGTCCATGAACCTCTCAATGTGCGTTGTAGAATACTCTTTGGCAAGGATTCTTCATCACAGTTGCAATCTGGGTCTTGGCCGCGCACTGCATCATGTGCAGCAGAGAGCAGTGGTTCGGCATCCCAGATCCTGCAAAGGTGCAGCTGGAGCCCTGGAGCTGAACAGGGAGAATTGGCGTCCCAAGACAGTACTCCAAGGAAAGGGGGACGTGACATCATGCAAGAGCACCCAGTACCTGCAAGAATGTCGGTTTGAACGCGATACGGAAAGAGCATGCGCAATATATCCCCACATTCAATCACTGCAACGCTTCACAAGTGGTGTTTGAATGGCTCCACCTGAGTGGTTGATGCTGAGGCCCAACATGCCCACAGTCAAGAAGCTCACCGCAGGCAGTGGAACAAATTGCACAACAGACATTTTGAGTTTTTGTTAAGTTATGCTTTCTTGGTGATATTCAACCACCACCAAGCCTCATGATGTTCCAGTGATACAACCACACTCTGTTAGCATCATGTTTTCTTTTGCTGTTTTCCCGATACATGGATTTGCATCATGCAAATCCATTTTTTCATTCTACCAACATCAGCAACCCTTTCTTGTACCAGCGATCATCAACAATTTGTATACTCAGTTTTAAGCAAACAAGAGCTGTTTCTGATGGTTTGCCTGTACTCATGCTCTGACTGTTCTCAACATATGATGCAAAGGAAAGGTGTTCTGCGGGTTAAAAGTCAATCGCTATTTAGGATGGAGGCCATCGCTATTAGTTTGGAGGCCATCGCTCTTAGGTTGGAGGCCATCGCTCTGAGCTTGGAGGCCATCGCTCTTAGGATGGAAGCCATCGCTCTTAGGTTGGAGGATCGCTCTTAGGATGGAAGCCATCGCTCTTGGGTTGGAGGCAATCGCTCCTACGTCGGAGGCCATAGGCCATTGTTCTTAGGTTGGAGGCAATCGCTCTTAGGATGGAAGCCATCGCTCTTAGGTTGGAGGCAATCGC